TGTATTATTAAAATATATAATAAAAACACTTACTTGAAAATAATTTGTTTGTAAATGTATTGTTAAATGCATTTGATAATAGCTTAAAATCTCAGGGGTACTTCAAGCCAAAAAACGTTTGGGAAGTTGGTGGAAGTTTGTTTGGTCTCGTATGCATCAGAAAGAATGAAATAGCGTCTGATTGTGTTGCAGTTCTTGGCCGTGGACACGCAGCTGCTTCTCGGGAACAAGACTCTGTCCCTGAGTCCCGAGGAACACGTCTTCGCCGCGCTCAACCTGTACCTGGACATCATTCAGATCTTTTTATACATTTTGCGAATCTTTGGAAAAAGCCGTGGCTAAAAGTCCACCACGCGACCAGTTAAAGATGAAGAGTGGTGTTTCCTTCTGTGTTAAAGGGTTAGTTCACCCAAAAATGAAAATTAGCCCATAAATTACTCACCCTCAAGTCATTCTAGGTGTATATGACTTTCTTCTTTCAGACGAATCCAGTCGGAGTTATATTAAAAATAGTCTTTGATCTTTCAAGCTGTTTAATGGCACTCAGCAGGTGTTGCAGTGCTTCAGTCCAAAAGAAGTTAAATAAAAAGCGCCCATCTATAATAAAAAGTCTCTCACACAGCTCCGGAGAGTGAATAAAGTCCTTCTGTAGCGAATCGATGCGTTTTTATAAGAAAAATATCCATATTCAAAACGTAATAATCACTTTAATGTAGCTTGCGCCAGCAGTTGTACACAGAAGCAGCTCCGGGCGGATGACGTATGAGGTCAGCGTTGCGCATGCGCCGGTGCGTCTCGTGAAAACCAACTGCTGAGTGCCATTAAACAGCTTGAAAGATCAAAGACTATTTTTAATATAACTCCGACTGGATTCGTCTGAAAGAAGAAAGTCATATACACCTAGGATGCATTGAGGGTGAGTAATTTATGGGCTAATTTTCATTTTTTGGTGAACTAACTCTTTAACAATGCTTTCGTTTCACACTTTTCATATGCAGAGATGACTGCGATTAAACCGTCTTGTAATATATAGCGTTATATATGAAGCTCTAGAGCTCGTTTTCCTGACCTGTCAATCAGTGTTATTAATATAATCAAGAGCAAATACACTGATTCATCTGCCACTCTGTTTATGTTATCCGTTCTTCATTTTTATGCATTATATTTTACTTTTAAGAAGGGAATAAAGACTTTTTTTATTAACAAATTCACTGTTTTGGACATTGTTTTCTTACATTCATCTGCAAGGGTCCCATTGATAACATCAGAGTCACGTCTGGTTCTAATTATTGTGCTTTTATCAGAGACAGAAGTAAATCGGAGGAAAATAACAATAAACATAAACTGTGGCTTGAAATGAACGAGCTGAAAATACTGAAGCAAGCGGCTTGACATCAGTCGAGGGTCTGATCAGTCGAACAGGCAACAAAGGAGATTTTATTCAGACTCCAAAGTGTGTGTTTTTATTTAAAATGGATGAAGAAACATAAATGATGTGCAAAAAATAACTTTGTTTCTGAAATTAGTTTCAGCTAAACGTTTGTAATCTGAAAACTTCAGAATGTAATAATAATAACTGACTACAATCAATAATAATAATAATATTTTGGCAGCCTGAATTATATCTTCAAGATGTTCAATATTTTTGTGTAGTTGCTAGTCCAAATAAATAAATATATAAATAAAATAATAATAATAATAATATTTTGGCACCCTGAATTTTATCTTCAAGATTTTCAACATTTTTGTGTAACTGCTAGTCCAAATAAATAAATAAAATAATAATAATAATAATGATTAATGAATACATGTTTGTAATCTGAAAACTTCATAATTTAATAATAATAACTGAATAAATTTTGGCAGCCTGAATTATATCTTCAAGATTTTCTATATTTTTGTGTAGCTGCTAGTCCAAATGAAAATAAATGAATAAATAAATACTTTTATATATTCAGTTAAGTTTTCAAGACCGTTTAGTTGCTAGTCCATAAGCTAAAATGGGCCACTTTTTTTTTTATAAAGCTAAAACTTTATGAACAGATAACTTTACAAACTTCACATTTTATAAACTTTAACAGATATTTGTTGACTCACTTCTTTACAAGTGTTAAAATAATATTGAGAAAATGTAAATTGAAGCTTGGAGATGTCAACATGTTTATATTGTATGAATGCAGTAAAACCAACAAATCGCTCATAAACATTTTATAATGATAAATTATATAAAGATTAACTGCATTTTTGTTGATATATTGCTAAGACGCAATTAATATTTGTATAATATGTTGTATATTAATATTTATATAATATATGATGTAGCTTTTTGACCTTTTTTTTTTTTTACATTTTCATAAAAAATAAAAAAAAAAACGGAATGAAGATCAGTCTGGACAAAGTTCAGAGATATTTTAATGCTTCTCTACGTGATTCACCAAACAGTAGCTGGTTTTATCTGACTTCACAGCACAGGGGTCTCCGGGGCCCCAAACATTCAGGAACTGAAGGGCTTTGCAGAGGCGCACGCGTGAAGTATGCGTTAGTAATGCAAAGTCCGATTCATTTCCGCGAACCGGTTCTTTTTGGACAGTTCGGCTGATTGAACCGGTTCAAAAAGCTGATTCATCGGTTCCTGACGTCATCAAGCAGTGACGTCACTACGCATTTCTTTTCTAACAACTCCATGCCATGTTGTATCATTGAAACATTCAAAAAGTATAAAGAAAGAATAAACCTGTCTTATAAACTCCTTGATTTCACTTAAACAACTTAAAACATGATCTGCATGCACAATAAACCGTGCTAAAATTCAGGTTTTTCCATGTTTTAATAAAAATCCAGGGCTTTTTAATAAAATGATTCATAAGCATATCTCCAGTTGCCTATGTTTTGTTTGTTATAAAGAAACTTTACGCATCAGGCTCGTTCAAGTCCTCGGGGATACACACGATGCCTCACAGACATGATAAATATATCTATAGAAAGCTTTAAATTACTACTTAACGAAATAAAACAAATCAAAAAGGCTTTCATTATAATCAGTCATAATTCATAAAGATGCACTTCTCTCTAAAGGCGCGTCTGAGGAGATGGTGAGTCAGGATCGGCAACTTCGTCCTTGCGACACCGACTCAGAAAACACTAGTTTATTAGTAAATAACTCAAATATCTCCTTACTATTTCCCCCTGTCACATTTATGGTAATTACTTTTGCCGGTGCTTTGCGGCAAGCTTAAGCCTATTGCTTGCATTTGAACGCAGAACTGTTCAGCAGCGCTGACGGCACGCACCATACATACTGCTGCGGGACACTAAACACCATCGAGCCGCTCTTGACAGTCGCTGTAGCACGGTCTCGTGTTGTTTCCACCAGCGAGGCAATTTTTTTCATCACTAATTGATGGATGTCTAAAATATAAAAAATAAGGAGAAGCCTAAAACAGGCCCGAGGCCCGGCCCACGTTTGAACTATGACATTTAAATTGGCCCGAAGCCCGGCCCGAGGGGCCTAAAAAAGTCGGGGCCCGACAGGGCTCTAATTCGGTTCCTTTTTTTTTTTATCGGACGTGCTACTTCGGCTGTGCGTCCTGCGTCATCAGCCCGGAACTGAAGTTCGATTCAGTTCGATTTTGTGAACCGGCTCGACCGGTTACTTCCTGAGAACCGACTCAAAAGACTGATTCGTTCAAGAATCGAACATCGCTAGTGTGCGTGTCGAAACCGCTGGAGGGACGCGAGCGGCAACAGAGAGACCAAATGAACCGCGCTCACTGAGTCAGAAAGCTGTCCGACACCTGGACGGACCGTCATGAGTCGACAGGTGAGTGACAGACAGACAGACAGGTAAACTTTACGAGCGCCCTGCTGACCGGGATCCGGTTTTTAGACGCGAGAATGACTGGTTTGTATATATATATATATATATAGAGAGAGAGAGAGAGAGAGAATAATTACAATATGATAATAATTTGGCGCAGGTGCAGGATGACGTCATGCACACTGTTGTTGCGCTGACGTTGCAGTGACGTGCAACTGATTATCGATTATTGCATTAGATCGTATCAGTGTTAAATCCACACGTATTAATCCAGCATGCGGTTTAAGAGCAGATGTAAGCTTCTACTCTCTACTACACTGTGTGCATCAGAGGAAATGCAGCAGTTTGCATCTGTTAGATAACATTTCACTGATTTCATTACGTCCTGTTGTAGATCTGGGCAGGGCTGTTATGGGATTACATTTCTGCCACAATTCTGCGCGCGAAAGATCATATTCCGCAGGGTTTAATTTGGTTTTGTGTATGTTTTTTTTTTACTCTCAAAGCCGTGATTCCCATTCACTTCCATTATATGACTGACAGACTGCAACGGTTTGTGTTAAAAACCTTCGTTTGTGTTCTACTGAAGAAACAAAGTCACCTACATCTTGGATGCCCTGGGGGTAAGCAGATAAACATCACATTTTCATTTTTGGGTGAACTATCCCTTTAATGTTAGTTAATGCTAGGGTTGCAAAAAGGTGGAAAATTTCCCGTAAATTTCGGAAATATTCCAGAAATTTTGGAAACTTTCCAGGTGTTTTTGGAATATTCCAGGGATTTTTTTTTGGAAAGCTTCTGGAAATTTTCCACCCCTTTGCAACCCTAGTTAATGCATAAACTAATAACGAGCAATACATTAGTTACAGTATTTGTTAATCTTTGTTAATGTTGGGTAATAAAAAATTACTAAAACTTTACCTGAAATTAAAATAAAAAATGAAAATAAAAAACAAATGATAATATCAACATATACAACTTTTGATGTTAATGATATATTAGTAATTGTTGGAATTTAATTTAATTAAGATTAATAAACGTTGCTCTGTTCTGAATACCTTAAAACTTAAAGGATTTGCTGAATGCGAATGCTTTAAAAACAGCTTAAAAATTACTTTATTTCATTCCAGATGCTTTTAAAGTACTTTCACTATAAATTTTACAGGTAGCTTGAATGTAAAACATTGTCATGAATTTGTTGTATTCCCATTTGTAAAATAGCCAACAAATTAATTGCTATAGGCTAACCCGATCTCATGAAAGTGCGTTTTGCACGGTTTTCTGCTTCTATTTGGCGTAATATTTATATGCAGAAATTGACTTTGGCATGCAAAAGACTGATAAATTAATAATTAATGGCATGGCTGGTTTAGTCGACAGAAATAAGCTGAGGTTTGCTTCGTTTGAACCAGATACTGAAGCAGTCACGTGGTTTTCAGCCGAATGAAGCTTCGGACGTCATAGATCACGTGCTTTTCTCAAAACGAATCAAGCTCCGATACAGTGCTTCAATGTGAAATGTGTTGTTTTTTGATACAAGCTTCGAAGCTTCGGTGTTGAATGCAACAATGTTTATCCAACAAAAGAATTCCTACAAACGGGAGTGGGCCAGTGTGTGATGGAGCAGCTGGATGCGGATGACAGAGGTGCTGGAGAACGACGGCCAGCATCCCGACTGTAAGCGAGGCTTCGGGTGAGTCAGGAGTTCATTCACACGAGGAGTGTGTGACATTTCTAGCTTCATACAGCGCTTCGTGTTCAACCCAGGGTTCTCACAGTCATGGAAAACCTGGAAATATACATATCTATATCTAAATATAATACAGTATAAATAAATAATGCATATATAAATAAACATAATATACATTTGCAATAATAGCCAGAATTTATATAGTTATTATAACTATGCAGGATACTCATAAACACTTTTGCTGAAAACATATTTGCCCTAAATGGCAAAACATTATGGAATGGTTTGAAATTTTCAATCCATTCTTATTCAACCTATTCATTTAAATATAAAACATTATGATTTTTAAATGCTTTTAATGAAGTCTCATCAGGGCTGCATGTATTTGATCAAAAATACAGTAAAAATCTGAAATATTATTATAATTTAAAACAGCTGTGTTCTATGTGAATATCTGTTAAACTGTAATGTATTTCTGT